CATGACTCCGATACAGAATTATCTGAAAAAATCACTGAAATCTTAAACATCTACGAGAAAAACCCAAACTTTGAAAGTAAGCCATCATTCAAAAAATGGTACAATTATTGCCGAAGATACGGAGACAGCATTGCCGAATGCAGACAAAAACAACAAGACAATCAAAACAAACCACAAAAATATTGAGAACCAAATAAATCATTTCATCAGTACAAGAAAAAAGATGAAAATTTACCCAACAAAAACATTCATAGTAAAAATAGTTCAGGAAAATCACTTCCAAATAACTCAAATTACTCTTGAAAACAATCACCTTATATTCCCAATTATCGAGGCCGATAACCAAACCAAAGAAAATCCCAAAATTTCTCACAAAACAGATATACGCGATCAAACAGTCGAAACAATCAGTGTCGAAATAACTATTCAAGATCAAATTCAAACCGACCTGAATTTTCGTTTGATACCAGTTCGTATTCAAATTCTAGAAATAAAAATTATTCAAATGATCGATCTAGAAACTCTTCATATAATAGAAATAGAAAATATTCTAACGATTGGAATAGAAACTATTCAAATGATCGAAATCATATATATCAAAATATTAGATCACGAGATTATTCTAACAAAAGATCAAACTATCAAAGATCAAATTATAATAACCATGAAAGCACAGAATTGCAATTAAATCCGATAAATTGCGAATCCACAGACAGTGAAAGTGACTCAGACAATGCAATTTCAATTAACTTGATACATATTGATAATGACTACGAACCTATTAAATACGAACAACCAATACATTCCCATATCTATCAAAATCATGATCACTTCCTCTTAAATTATAATTCAAGACCTATAAGCAGTAAAAAGACAATAAAAAACATAGTAGAAGAATTAACAGAAAAAAAACCCACAGAATTTCAAGCACAAATAACAATTACCAAAATATACCTAAAGAAACGCAATAAACAGAAGAAAAGTTTGGACAATTCCACTTCTTTTAGAAAGTCCAAAATGCAAATAACTTCAAACACCAGACCTTGAAATTGATCTTTTAAGAGATTCCGGAGCGGACTCAAACATCATCAACATCCCCACTTGGAATGAAATAAAAATTTTACATCCAAAATTAATATCATTCAAAACAACAAGCAGGCTAGCAACAGCACAAGGATCAATCTTAACAAATTATGGAAAAATCCAATTTTTCCTTGTTACCACTCAAACAATGGAACAGAAAAACTTTTGAGCAAACCATTTAAGCAAACCTTCCATATCACAGATATTAAACATAATATCATTGGAAGCCACATAATAACATAATATCATTTCACGAACATATAGAACTTTAGTCCCACGGGGTGCTTCTTTACTGAAAAAAGTGACATGTGAACAAATTCATAATATCTCTTTCGACATATCTTAATTTTTCAACTGATAATTGCTATATGTACCGACTCCAAGGCCATTTATCACCCTCAACGAGCTCGATAAAAATCTTCTTAGTCACTCTCTTGCTTGACACTGATTCACCAAAAAAATGGTTATGGTTTCCCCTATATATGAAAAAATACATACATAAATTGGGGCCCAGACTCAATCTCTACATTTTTATACAACTAATTGGTATCGAATAATTGTTGGAAAAATACTGAAAACCATACGAGCTAGCAATATCCAACATCAAGAGTAAACGTGCGAATGAAGAAATCACGGAGCATAATGAAGCACGGAGCCATATATTTGAGCTTAAAAGCAGGATTTCTTCTATGAGGTTTGAAAGTAGTTTGGCAAATACTATGATTTTGATCGTGGTTTTCGACTGAATAAAAAACCAAGCCAAGCTTATATATTCCGCACCTCATCAGAGTCAGAACAAAAATCTGTCACCTGAAATACTTAATCAGCAAAATTTATTTTGAAGCTAAAAGTAAAGTAGTTATACAAAGCAAAAAAAGAATTGACGAAAAAATGAGCATGCTAGGAAAAACATGAGCATGATATTTGACAAAATTAAAATATATTCATTCACACAGCTCCGATGCAGATGATTGCATAGTCAAACATAGACTACGGCGCATAGACTACACTGACAAAAGTGGTTTCCGGTCGGTTCAAATTTATTTTAAGTCCATTTTAAATCGATTCAAATCGATTAACAATGTACACTTTACGAACTTAAATGGATTTCAAATCGATTTAAAACGATCTTTCTTGAAAATTTTGGATCATTTTAAGTGTCTAAGAAATCAATTTAAATCGATTTAGATGGATTTTCTGACACTAAAATCAATATTTTTGCAAACAAGGCAAAAAAAAAACATGCTTTTTAGAAAAATAACTAGAATACTTTAATCTTGAGTTTTTTAAAATAAAAACACAGATTCCAGCTGTTTTAGAATTCAAGAAAGAAAAAACATTTTCAATAAAAACCAGATTTTGAGCTCAAAAATATGCAATGAAATTATTTAAAAAACTATCAATGTAAATCAGATATTGGCAAAAACCACTGTTTTAAAAAGAGAAAAAAGTACCTAAAAATCAAATATTGAGGTCAAAAATATGCAATAAAAATCTAGAAAATTATCATTGTAAATCAGATTTCGTGCATTATCATATATAACAAATCAAGAAAAATGTCTAAATAAACCAGATTTTGAGCTCAAAAAAATAAAAATGAAATCATAGAAAACCATCATTGTAAATCAGATTTTGGGCAAAAACCAATGTAAAAAATGAAGAAATTGGCTAATACAAATCAGATTTTAATCAACGTCAATAATACCAAAGCAATGAACGTGCATAGTTTGAGTAATTAAATCGGAAATTTTTTTCTAATGTTATCAAAATCTACACAGCCACGGGTGCTCTATGGAGCCTGGGCCGAGACATTTCAACCATCAACCACAAAAGTCGACTAACAGTTTGCCTGCCTGTTTAAATCGCATTGAACTGGGAGTACTTTTTAAATTTCTGAACTTTTTTCAAGCCACATATCTCTCGCTGTTACATTTCAAAAAGCCCACTCGCTGCCGCTGATGTCGTGCTGTTGTACTTTTCTCTCTTTAACTCTTGTAGTATTGATTGGTGCATAGAACCTGAAAAATATCTTTAATAACACAGAAGTAATAACAAATATGGAGTTGTTTTCTATATTATTTACTTTTAACCGACATAAAATTTTGAAAGTTTGGTGTTGGAGGGAACATTTCCCGACTGAGACAGGAGATAATATCTGTTTTCTCGGTAAACTTAGCTTTTGGCTTCGCTTGGGCAAATAAAAACTAAAAAAAGACTACCGGTTCAACTTATGAGAAAATTGTATGAAACAGAGACCCTTATGTAGCCCAACCGTTTTTGTATATTTTTTATTGAGTCGGTCAAGGAACTGTCATTTTCAGATGAAGCCCGTCAAAACATAGCACGCTTTGACTCATAATCATTTTTTTTGTCTGCTGAAGTACATCAAAATACTATCTTATTGGGTCAATTTTGACAACAAATAACGCTGGTGTCGTTTATTTTTTTTTTCGACCATTGAAAATCGGTACGAACTTTATATTCAGGTGTCTTAGTTTTTTTTCAACTTTTTTGGAATTCCACGCTAAATCAATCCAAATAAATCATTGGACAATCATTCAAAATTCAGCGACGAGAAAAATCGGTTTGAAATTTTTGAGTTTTAGTCTAGTTTTGACGAATAAAGCGAGCGAGCAGGCGTATAATTGGCTTTTTATAGAAAAAAGATCAGCCAATTCAAGCCCTGAAAATTAAAATTTACTAAAAATAAAATATTGTTTGAAGTTTTAACACCGTTTTGTTATTCAAAAATAAAAAAATTAGCAAAATTTTTCTAAAAATGTGAGATATTTTTTAAAACTTTTTTAACAATTTTTTTTTTCGTTTTTCTAGTCTTTTGTTGACTGAAACTGTTGGCAATTTTGCCAATTTCACAGAGAGTGTCAAATATGCTTAAGTTTTAGGCTTTTGTACGATCTTCTTTTCAAACCACGCTAAAAAATGACTTGCTCAATAACCGGCTATCCTTGTCTTTATGCGGAATGGCTGGCTTGAAAAAAAAAATTCTTCCCCCGAGTCCCTCCTCAAAACTTAAATTCAAGAACTTGGCCAGGGATTGCCTCGTATTATCAACATTTCAGCTACACTGAGCATACCGGATGAGCATTCTTGACCTGATACAATGAACGGACCAACTATAAAATGTCGTTTGTTGGAGGAAAGAGTTAAAGTAAGGCGAGAAGATATCTGCATATCTACTCGCCTTACTTAAACTTTGTTCAGGAACTTCAGGTGGGTTTTTTTTTCTTCAGACAAAATTCGACTTTTTAATTAGCCATTTTTGACGGAATTTTTTAATATCATTCAAAAGGTATTGTTGTCCTGAGCTCAAATTTGAAAAGATATTTCACCTGTGATCATTTTTCGTACAGTTATGGGGGTTTAAAGAATGCCATTTTGGCCAATTTGGGACAATTAACGCGCGATATATTTCGCGCTTTTAACGCGTAAGCGGAGAGTTAATCCGTCTTAAAATCGTTCCAAATTGGTTAAAAGAAGCTTATTGGCCATAATTGATTGGTTACAAGGAGCTAAATCTATCTTTTTGGGCTCTTTTCCAGTTCCCCCCTTTCAAAATACCGAGTTTTATGTTTGTTATACGTGTTATTACGGCTAAATGCGTGATGTTACGCTGTAAAGTATGAAGAACAAATCTGAATTTCATTGCATAATGACAACGTTAAATAAGCTTTTCAAATTTGAATTTGAAAGGGGGGAAACTGGAAAGAGCCTCTTTTTGTACTTTAAATGGCGTGTGGGGGGATGTTTTTCATAAAAAATTTCAAATTAAAAAAAGTTTTTTTTTAAATTTTAATACATTTAATTTTTTAATGTTATTACTGCTCCATAAAACCTTAAAAGGCAGTCGGAACATTCAGGGCTTCGCCCTGATACGAGCAGTCTTGTTTGTGTTATAGGCGTGTTTGCAGAACAGAAATCCTCGGATATCCATTTCTTGTCTCAGATTAGTGGTCAGAGACCGCCAAGTACCAAAACAACTACTGCAAGCAAGGTTTTGCCTCGGAAAGATCAAACAAGTGGACGCCCGTTTCAAACTTCGTCGGTGAAAACGCAAATTGTGAATCAGAATTTTACTGCAGTGGAAATGGACGACGTTTTATCTGACGACACTGACTTCGAGGTGACAATTTTGTTTGGCATTTAAAGCCTTTTGAGCGACAAATATAGACTTTTTAATCGAAAAGTATGAGCGTTTTAAAAGATTTTCATTTTTTTGAAACATCAGACGATTGATCAATAACCAACTTACCAAATTTTAGAGCACTAAATTTTTCTTATATCATCTGAAACATATTGTTGTCTGGAGCTCATTTATGAGAAGATTTTTGAACTTTTAAATTAGCTTTTACGTGCAGTCGGTCTGAAGAAGTAATTACCTCTCTTTGTATGTTCTATACTACAAAATCTGTTTTACACGTAGTACTTATCGCATGTTCTCTTTAAACAATCTTAGGGAGCCCTTTGGAATTTGCCTTTTCTACCTTACAAGGCGTTTCTAATAAAGTTGTTTCAAGATAAGTCCTGTATTAACTTTTCAATCGTGCGCGGTCAATGCATATTCATCTCAAAAGGTCGCGAAGTCTCTGATTCTCTGAATCGCAGTCTTTAAAAGATCCGGACCAGTGCGATAGTCTGGCGTGTATTCGATTTTCGTTGGCTGCTATGACGTTGTTATTTCGCCTCCATATGCCTGGGCCTCTCTCTATCTCATCGTTTTTGAAACGAGCTTCAAGCACCGCATGGTCACTCCATTGCTTTCTATGGGTAATTATTTGATTGCTACTGTCTATATAATTAGTGAAAATGTAGTCAAGTCAGCATTTTGTCCCTGTTCTTAAACGTTCGCGAGTTGTTTCTATGTTATCTAAGGTTGCAGCTAGATCATTCAAGTGTATCTCATCTATAATCAGTTTCAACTTCTTGAAGATTTTCACCTGCGATGTGTATGCCGAGGTCTGCCCTACAGTGGTTATCCTATCAGTTTCCGCATTTTGCAAAGCATTTAAATCTCCCAGTAAAGTTTTGGGCCCTCCTAGTTTGCAATATCTACCTTAATTATTGCATTGTCAACTAATTGGATATAGTGGATATATTCGACTGTTCGGATGTATGTATTTATTGCTACTGTTTTTTTTGTTTTGAAAACTAGAAATTAAACAGGCGTTGTTTTCTGTCAAATGATTTCTTTTCTCGGTTGTTCCAAAAGGTCAAAACACCTCCGCTACCGTTCGGCTCCGGTCGAAAGTGGTGAGACAAACTCGTAAAAAATAAGAACCGTTGCTACTGTGTCTGGTAAAACTTGCGTAGTTTTCATGGTGCCCTATTGGTGGCCTTTTATCGCTGGGGTTTTATATATTGCCAATGTGGCCAGTTTGAGACAATTAACGCGCAATACATTAACGCGTAGGCGGAGATTCAATCCGCACCAGGAAAAATCCAAGTCTGATTGGGGCCTGCTCAATAGTCTTTTTAAAGCTTAGCTATCTTCAAAATATATCATCTTGTATTTTTTTTTCGTGTGTGAGAGATGGTTCTTTTCAAAAAAAACATCAAAAAATTTTGTTTTGAATTGTTTCAAGTTTTTTTTTTAAATTCATCAATTTTGATATTTAAATTTAGTCCATTGAATGAAATTAAAGTATCTACATATGATCTAAGAATGAATCACGTTATGATATTTTGAAGCAATTCTTAATAATCAAGCAACCCAAGTGGTCGACTAGTTAAGATCACTGCAACCCCACCAATTGAACATTTTTGATTTTTTTTGGTAACTCACCACCAGAAACAAAATTATTAAAATGGAGTCACAGCATATAAAATTTTTTGGTTCAATGAACTTTAGGTTAGCCAAGTGATTAGTAAAAACTTCAAAAACGTATTAAATTGTCACGATGTTTTGTCATTACTAAGAAAAGACATCGTTTTTTTCACAACTTAGCTCAATTGACTTATTAAATTGCCTTCAAACAAAACGTGTTACTCAAATTCAAGCTGTCATCCCAAAAAATACAACTTTCATTTCATTTTTTTTCCGATTGTAACTTACAAGAGGATCATATCCTTCAGTTTCCTTTGGCCAGATTTCACAAAACGCAATAACATCTGCTTTCTATTCAACCATAACTATTGAGTTTTTCGTTGGGCCATGATTGCATCATTGTGAAACAAAGGCAAAGCTGAGCTTCGCACCATTTGTGATGCAAAACGAGAAAGCCGCTAAGTCGGAAAAAGTAGAAAAAAAAATCAAAAGTGTCAAAAAAACTAGATCTATCAAAACAATAAGGCTAGTTTTCAAATAGAACAAAAACATGCCAGGACGATGGACTGTGAAATAAGCATCGGAAGAATAATTACCAAACGGTAGAAAAAACCTAGGAATACTTTGGCAGAAACCCTTTAGGCCGAAAAAAGTTAACAAGAATTAAGTTAATAATTCGACTTCACCCTCAAAATACAGACGTCAGACATGCACACACAATTTTTTTGGTCGACGAGAATCGCATTATGGCCACTAAATCGATATCATATAGGCCAAAACCTATCAAGACGAAAAAAAAGGAAAAGAAAAAAAACAAAAAGCCGAAAAAAAATTTGTTGTGATGAAAAACTTGAAGTAGAATTTCTATGACTTTTTTTAGCATTTGCGCGATTCAGAGGTGCGCATTAAATTTTTATTTCCCTTGAAACGAATCAAAACTAGGTCACTAAAAATAGACCGATAATTAGGCCGACAAGAAATAGACCGAAATAGACCAAAAATAGACCGAAAGGTTACTATAATTAAAAACATGAGAGGTAAACCAGGACACTTAAAGCAGCCATAACGTAAGGAACAAATAAATTTTTTTAAAAAATTACAATATGACAACTAGGCCGACAGAAGATAAGCTGACAAAAGATGAGCCGACAATTTTTTTTGAAACGGAATATTCACCGTTTGAAAAAAAAACAAGTCCTGTCAGATCTAAACCCACGATTTTCGCCGTACCAGGCGTATTCGTTACCTCCAGACCAAGTGTGCTGAAGACTCAAAAATTAGAAACAAATAAAAACTGAACCCAAATTTACAATTTTTCATTTTGACCACTCCGTGCCTAAAGTTATTACGGGAAAAATCTATGGTAAGGGTAATGATTAACTGTAGAAAAAAAAATTTTTTTTTCCCCAAAAAGATTAGAATTTACGATTAGAATTTACAAACAGTTAAAATCTTTTGGTTTGAAATGATTACTTTTTTATCATCTACAAAAAAATAGAAGTTTCCGACATTGTAGCCGCTCGTTTTCCATGCTGCTCATATGCAAAATCTCATTTTATTTTCAATTAAAAATGGCATGGTATCCAAAATCCACCGCACTTTTCAGTGAATTGACACTTTGAGTTATGATTCTTGAACGGAGTGTTTTTTGCAGCAAACATTTTCTCGGCAGTAATGTGAAACACCATGTCAAAAGTTTCCTTGTCCCCACGCACTTGTCCCCACAGAACAGAAAAACGTGCCATGAAAATAAACAGTGAATGAAAACACATGTTTGCCTGGGATAATAAAGTGTCTAACATGAAAACAAAAAAAATTAAGACAACCTTTGTAACTTGTTTATCGTTTTTGTTGATAAAATAGGGTGTTTCAAATAAATTTTAGATTTTGAAAACGCTTTAGTTTGTTTTGCGAATTCTTTCTGCAGATAAAAGACAATTGAACAAAACTTTAAAACCTTGAATTTGTATATAAAAATTATTGGAAATTTCCACCATTTTGCGCCACACAGACTTGTAATCTTTTCTTCAAACTTTTCAATGAGTCCTTATAATTCTGGGCCCTTACCGTACTGCTAGCATCTTCCAATGATTGAATGAGTTCCTGAATACCACGTAGATTAGCATGATGTAGAACTTTTGCCAGAGGACCTCACAGCCAAAAATCAATTAATCGATGTGGTTGATATCCGGGCTGTAAAATCGGGGTTACGTTACGGACTTTGATAGGCAGGCTTTGATAAATAGCACAAAACAGCTCGTATCAGGGCGAAACCTTGAAAGTTTTGACTGCATTTTAAAGTCTATGGAGCAGTGTTTGCACAAAAGAAAAATTGATCGATTTTTCGGAAAAAAATGTGAAATGTTTTCAAAATTTTTGAGATTTTTTATCATCCCTGCACACGCCATATAAAAGACAAACTGATAAATTTAGCTCCTAGTGTCGTAGCAATTAAAACAAATATAGGGCTTTAACCAATTTGGAACGATTTCTAAGGTCAATTGATCGCCGCTTACGCGTTAGTAGCGCGAAGTCGATCATGCGTTAATTAAGCCAAACTGGCCATATTGGCAACCTTTAAACACCATTATTTTACAAAAACGGGTTAGAGCAGAATTATTTTTTAAATTTTGAGTTAAAACAACAATAGTTTTCGGTTGATCTTTAAAAATTTCTGCTTAAAATGGCTAGATAAGAGTCGAACCTAAAAAAAGTGTTTGTAGCTTAAAAAGGTGAAACAGTGGGGACATAGCGGGTGCGAAATTTTTGAACAGTGGAAGATTTTTAATCAAGTTGATCTAAGCAATGTAGTTTTTATTTTAAGTCAAATTTTTGTCTGTTTTGCTCGTCCCATCCACATTTGAAGTCAAGCGGTTATGAAATGACCAGTTTTTTATAAAACAACAGTTTATTTGAAACACCCTGTTTTTAAGTTAAGAAGTCAAATGTTTGAATAACTTTCTTGTATCAGACCGTTCTCAAAGTTACTTTTAGATATAGTAATTTCTTTGAAAATTTTTGCCTTAATTAAAAAATTTTTTTTATTAGAAACAACCTCTTAATCAACTTGCTAATCAGTAAAGTAATCTTTTTTGAGTAAATCATTTTTTCCTGCGTCGCAGGGCCAGTATGTTATGGAAACAAAACAAATTTGGATGAAGTTTTTTAGAACCTGCAAACAGTCAACCAAGTAAAATTAAATTGAGTATTTTTTCTTTTAACGTGCATAGAAAAAAAATTACCTCAAAACTGGCTTGTAAATTAGCTCAAAACCGCTTTTAATCCACCTCAAAACTGGTTCGTTTCAGGGGAGAGCCCTGAACTTTGCCCTTAGTCTGTAAGACGTTTAAAATGAATTCGGATGAAACTATTTTGAAAAAATAAAAAAATGGATAAATTTTCAAAACAAATCAGTTTGAACTTTTTCCCCCACACGCTATCTAATGAAAGTACAAACTTATCGAATGAGCATTTAGTTTAACCTTATTAAATTTAAAAAAAAACTTGCCTCAAGTCACTTTGGAACAATTTCCTAACCAGATTATTATGCCACTGTGCGTTATTTGCACGATATATAACGTGCGTTATTAGTCCGTAATTTAGCATTTTGAAAAAAAAATCATAATAACAGGTGAAATATCAAAACAAAATTAAACTCAAGACTTAAGCAATTCTCAAATGATTTAGACTATTGTTACGACAACTAAGAAAAAAACTTTTTAAGATATAAATTACACCAAGCCTAATTATTTCTGTCTCTTCGGAAACTCCAATGAAATAATGAGAAAAAATCTTGAATGCGATATTTAAGAAAAGTTTTTGATATGAAAAAAAAAATAAGTTTTTTTTAACAAATCCTCAAAGAGAGTTTAAACTGAAAAAAGCTAGACTTGAACAGATCTAAAAACGCATTTTGCATGTAAGAAGTGTGTAAAAACTTGAAGTGTGTTCACTTGTTCAGGCTGACACTTTTTAACGCAGTTTATAACATTTCCTGGGACTGAACAACATATAACATTTCCTGGGTTGAACAACATAAAAACTAGTGTTTCTGCTTTTCGCAGGGGATCTAAGGAAAACTATCTAGCCTTTCTGAGGCTGTCCCTTTCTTTTATTTTCCCACATTTCAGCTGAAAAATACTGCTGAGCAAAGCTCTTTTCCTGCGACTCAAGATCGCTTGTGTGCGTCTAGATCTTACACGTGGTACTATAATTGCAGCCGAAATTGGTCAAGCTGCGGTAAACTATTCCTAGAGGCCAGGCGAGAGCTTGTCCTCAGACCTTACCAATGCCATGGCAGTTTATCAAACACTCGATTAGACATTCTCCAAATCAACGCCTTACCATTATACCAAGTGCAAATGCCAAAATGACATAGGAGAAAAATTCAACTCAAGATTTTTAAATAAAAAAGATTTTTTTTATATAAAAAGCTAGTCATATACAATTTTGATCAAAGTTTTGAAATTTTGGCAAATACCATAAAATCTCAACCGCAGAGCAGAGTTTCTCTGACAAAAAAATGGTTTCATTGAGAAATACATGACCAGCACACTTACTTCAGTTTCTTCGAACAAAACACGTGAACAAAACACGTGAACACGACAAATTGAAATTGATCATTTCATATTCCAAGTGTGCAGAATATAATATCTGGAGCCTAAAAGTTTGAAATGAAGCTAACTTTTGATGGCAATTTTAGCTAAATATGTTTTGCCGGTAACTAGCCTTTAGTGCAAAAATTCAAAAAATGACAAAATCAAATAATATGAATTTGATCTTTCCAAGGCTTCGTTTTTAAAATTTTAGGAAACAAGTTATCTCGATGCATAATATACATGTCAATGCAAAAACTTGAATGATTTGCAATTTTTGAAAAGACAAGAAGTTCATCACTTTAGTTTAGTTACTAATAGAACTAATATATATTTTTTAAAAACACATTTTTGAAGGTCATTGAACTAAAGTAAACATAAATCGTTCGTTTTCTTTTTCTTGAGCCCTACGAAGTGCGAAAAAAAAGACATTTCTCGTTGAAGCTCCCTAATTTTGATTTGATTTATTTGGCCAGCAAGATTCATAAAACTAACAGATGAAACAATTGGATTAATTAAACTCCACCCGCGAACCCAAAAATCATTCATCTTTTTTTCACCGTTTTTATATAAAAAGCTAGTCATATACAATTTTGATCAAAGTTTTGAATTTTTGGCATATACCATAAAATCTCAACCACAGAGCAGAGTTTCTCTGACAAAAAAATGGTCTCATTGAGAAATACATGACCAGCACACTTACTTCAGTTTCTTCGAACAAAACACGTGGTTCTTTAATCTTCAAAGAAATTTCACTTTAAAAAACTTCGGTTGGATAAAAAGTTTCTGTATAAAAACTCTTCAAAGAAATTTCAGTATAAAAAAAACTTTGATCAAAATTGTATATGACTAGCTTTTTTAATAAGAAAATCTCGGTTGAGAAACAATTTTAGTTTTAAAAATCTTCAAAGAAATTTGAGTTTTTTTTTTGCATTTTTAAGCGAAAAACGTAATTTTCAAAGAACAAATTGAAATTGATCATTTCATATTCCAAGTGTGCAGAATATAATACCTGGCGCCTAAAAGTTTGAAATGAAGCTAACTTTTGATGGAAATTTTAGCTAAATATGTTTTGCCGGTAACTAGCCTTTAGTGCAAAAATTCAAAAAATGACAAAATCAAATAATATGAATTTGATCTTTCCAAGGCTTCGTTTTTAAAATTTTAGGAAACAAGTTATCTCGATGCATAATATACGTGTCAATGCAAAAACTTGAATGATTTGCAATTTTTGAAAAGACAAGAACTTCATCACTTTAGTTTAGTTACTAATAGAACCAATATATATTTTTTAAAAACACATTTTTGAAGGTAATTGAAATAAAGTAAACATAAATCATTCGTTTTCTTTTTCTTGAGCCCTACGAAGTGCGAAAAAAAAGACATTTCTCGTTGAAGCTCCCTAATTTTGATTAATTATTTGGCCAGCAAGATTCATAAAATTAACAGATGAAACAATTGGATTAATTAAACTCCACCCGCGAACCCAAATATCATTCATCTTTTTTTCACCGTTTCCGCTTTCGTGATTGGATATCGCAAGTTGTCTTCATTTCAGCGAATGAGTTTTAATTGCTCTTAAACGTAAATCATAGTTAAATTGCAGATCAAAGTTGGTACGGTCAAAAAGCGAGATTTTTTCTGATAAAAAAAACGAAAAATTATATATATCATTACTACCTATAAAAACGTCTTCAGGTCATTGAACTGGAGTAAAACAGAAAAAATTAATTGACTTTTTACGAAGTTCGAAGAAAAATATTTCACTTTGGAGCTCTCTAAATTTCATTCATTTGTTCGCCAGCAACATTCATAAAACTAACAACGTGAAACAAAATTGGATCAATAGGTAACTTTTTTGCTGCAAAACCTGAAAACTAAATTTCACGTGCAAAACCAATAGTCATTTAAATTGTTTGCAACATTTCCTTTTTCTTAATTGGATATCGCAAATTGCCTTCCTTTCAGCGACATAATTTGAATTGCTCTAAAGCGTATATCACAGTCAAATTACAAAAGATCGTGTTTGGTGCGGTAAGAGATTTTTTCTGATAAAAACGGAAAACTAACATTACGATCTATATAAGCGTCTAAACTACTTTCATTGACTCTTGATAAAAAAAATTTAAGGTCAAGTAAACGCTATTTTTGGTTAATAGGAAATTATGAATCAAAAATTCGAAATCACGAAAAAATATGATTTACAAAAATTTCTCGTTTCAAGATCTGAGGAATGATTACTCCATGCTATGAAGTACGCCAGTTGAAACGGTCAGATTTTAATATTTGACAGCAGTTGAATAACAAAACAGCCCAGACAGACATTTTTACACTCATTTTCTCTGAAATTGCAACAATCATCCAATCATTCAACCTTGACTAAGATTTTTTTAAAACTGAGAACCAGGAAAACCAAATTAGAATACTACTTTAATTTTTTCCGATTCGCGCTGAGTTTATTTTAAATATACTTAGAATGATAACAATATAAAGATCATGCCTATTCAATCACACTCAGAGCAAATCTAGGATTTTATCGAGAGGGGCTGCGTATTTCCAGAAATTTTTCGTCGAACTTTTAGGTCGAGCTTTTAGGTCGAGCTAAATGAATGATTTCAGAGCTCTTCCTAAATTTTAGTGACCCCAGTTTGATCAAATTTCTTGCGTCGCAGGCATAAATAAAAACATTTTTGGGCGTTTTTTGGAAAACTTTGACCAAAAAAATGCGTTTTTTCGTCGCGTGCTCAGCTTTAAAATTAGTGGTTATTGGCGCCGAAGGCGTCTTTAGAAAATTGATAGGGTTGGTCGGCCGAAACTGGATGTCATTCAACAATATTAAAAGGAGGAACCTGTGGCTAGTGAGGGGGCCGAATCCATGAATAGAAAGGGCGTCTCAGCCGCTCCCTCGCCTAAAATCCGCCTCTGATCGCCCTAGAAGTTTTTTGTCCTGTTAAAATATTTATGTATTTTTGCAAGCTCGTATCAAAGGAGGCTTGACCCCGAATTCAACTGCTTATCCCATAATAAGAGTATTGTCTTCTGTTTAGAGTTGTCAAAATTATCTCACTGGGCTGAATCCTGCGCCATCTACATCACAGAGCTCCCCCATGATGCCCGCTAAACGTAACTGGAAAATTGCAAATCTATAGTACCGCCTTCATTCGACAATTTCGATTTTCCTAAGCAAGGACGAGTGTTTAACAACTGACAAAAATAAAAGAGTTTGCTTAGATTTAATTTTTGGACATAGTATGATAAGCTGCTCTAAGTTGTTTAGAAAAAATGAATTATTATCCCATGTTCTGTTTTGTGTAGGCCATGACTATGGGTGGATCCAATCGGAAAAGATGCTGCAATTTCAGCTGCAGTCTAACAATATGACCATCAGCTGAACTAGTGAGAACGAGAACCAATCAAACAACAATCTATAAATAAACTCAAATAGGAGGCCACATAATTCTTATCACGAGTTCTGGTCGCAGTTACCTTCAACTTTGTCAACTTTTAGCGCAGTTTCATAACTCAGCTTTACAAAAAAATTAAGACCACCCAGAGGTGGTATTGGGATGTAATTTAAACATGATGTATTTATGCGCTTCCATTTTCTTCAGTTACGATGAAACTCCCATATGAGCATCACAAGAAACGCTCTGGACATCAGCCCTTTCAAATAAAATCGATCCAACTTCGCAATAAATATTTTCATTTCGTATTAGGGTGGTTGAACCAAAAAGACAGGGAAGATTTATGTACACATCTCAGGACAAGGAATTCAGGAGGCTAATTTAAGATAAAAATGGATTTTCGTTGTCCGCATAATCACCGTTCTCCCAATTTTGGCATTTTTAATTGAAACAACTGCTTTACGGCAAAAAAATTCTCAGCACGAAAATGATTTTCGAATTAGAAAAATGAAAACATTTTAAAGACGACCTTAAAAATCTTTCTTAAACTGTAGAAACATATTTTCTTCTCACTTCATGCACCGATCACTGGTAGCGTGATGAGAGTTTTTGCATTCAGCTTATTTACAATGCATATATAATTATCAAGAACTAATGTCATCTGAGATCGATTGAGATATCATAAAAAACCTCCAGCCGTGATCTGAGCTGCAAATGGTTTGTTCCAGCACTTAAGATGGGAAAGATATCATGGCTTGTCACTCAAATATGTCTCAGCGTCAACAGATTTTACAGCCAATTTTTTTACTTCAGAGGATAATATAAAAACGGAGGAAAAATTGTACTTTTAAAAAAGGTCATCGGTTCAGAAAATTTAACGGGTGTTCTAATAATACAATAAAAATAACTTTTCTTACGTCAATTTCAATTTGTCCTTCCTTACCACTCCAACTTGAAATAAAACGTGAGAAAATATTACAATTATAAAGTAGTTAAATAATAAAAATTTGAATCAAAATTTGAAATAAAAAACTGCTTTATTTCAAATGAGAAATGTCAAAGTTACGCGAACTTCAAATGTTCAATTCAAATCTGCTACTTTCTACTTTAGTTTGTTCTGGTTTTCTGCAACTTCTCTGCAGAAACTTTTTGTTAATCTCTCATTTAAATTTATCACTTCATCAACTGTTTTGCAGATCTTCTCGCAAGCTGTAACATCTGGCGATTTGTGGGTGGTTTATCTTTGCTCAGTTTCAGTTTTGCCCATAAGTCGCATCGCCCAAAATTCATAATTTCTATAGCTTGTCGACATATAAAAAAAATCTTCTGTCATATTTGATGTTGCCTAAGGATATAAATGAATATGGGATTTGACTTTCAAATAAAAAACTGAATTTAATATAAGTACAAAAATGGGTAATTGAATCGCCCATAGAGGCGTTTTTAGTGGGCCCTATTTTGGCACCAAAAGCCAAAAGCTTAATAATTAGAGTATTTGTAAAGTCAGATAAATAATCAACAATGAGTTCGTGCAAAAAAATGAAATGGGTAAATCTATAATCTTGAATGCTCCCGGAGCCGAACAAAATCAGCAAATTATTGAAACAAGTATTTCATTTTTTCTAATAAAGGAATCGGAGTTGTCTGATAAGTGCGCTCATTGTAATGAATTCTGTCTGAGTAGGACTTGTACTCGGGATGTACGTGCAATGGTATGAAGTTCTTTCTAATTTTCGTCTCCAAGAAGGTATTTACGACGCTTATTTCGGTGTCCCGTGACTCCAGTGGAAAAACTGACACAAATAGTATTTTCTGCTTGGATATTGATTCAGTAAAAATCTTATTTCTACGGGTAATTTCGCCAGCTCGTATTGCGAGATTATCGTCATGTGGATGATCACATGCGTCATTACCTCCGCACATAGTAACAACAAGAGTAAACTTTTAAAGAGTTTTCAAATCAATTCGGGTCTGCCAGTTTGTAATTGTTAAGCCCGAGAAACCAAAAAACACAGTGTTAGGATTAACTGAATAGCTGGTATTGTAACAAAGTTTTAAGCAGAACAAACATGACTATCGCCAAGAATAACAATGGAACTTGTATTTTTAAAATTGGAAACGATGTTTGACTTAATTTTTCAGTTTAATTTTTCATTTACTTTTGGTAGTTTCAGTCAAATTATGGGTCGTTTATATACTCCTGTCTTAGTTTTCACTTCTGCTGATCTACCGATACCATCGTCACTATAGTTTAATTTCTCTGTTCTTCTTAAGTGAAACTTGTCTGTGAATATTTGTTGTTCAACTATCCATACAAGGTCTCCTTCATTAGGCTCATTCTTAGACTTTTTGAACCATTCAGTTCTGGCTAAGTGCATCGGAATATATTCCTTTTGAAATATGTGCCAGATACGATTTGCATTTGATTGGGCCGCTTTCAGGTTCCTGTGACGACATTCGTACTCCTTTGAGTAGATTCGAAACATTTCTGACCCAGACGATCCAATTAAGAAATGATTTTGGGTTATCACCTCATAAATTTCAATGTCATCTGAATCGGGTGCAAGTGGTCTGTGATTTAATATTTTTTCCACGCTGCAAATTATCGTTCTCAGGATGTCTTCATTCAAGTTTTGTGTTCCTAAGACATTATATATTGCTTTCTTGGCACTTATCACAAGTCTTTCCCAAACTCCTCCAAACCTCAATTCGAAGCATCTCTCGGCTATTGCTTCTTCTATTTTCCATTCCCTCATCTACTTTTCAGCTGATTATTGGTACCCACGAAGACAAGTCATTTGTGGTTAGACAAGTCATCAGACAGATCAATCTTTTCTCTGACAATCTTCTGACCTTTATATTGAAGGGTCCAAAGTAGTCCACTCCGGTGTTCTTAAATGGTCTACTGAAGTCCATTATAACCTTGGGTAGATCCGCCATCATGAGGTGTTCCCTTTTCTGAGAAGTTTTTGGCAAGGAACACAGTTCGCTTTCGTTGATCTTAGCTTGTTTCTCACGCCGATATTTCAGTAGTTTTCTTGAAAAATACTTTTGAGCTGTTCAATTCCGACGTGATCATTTTCTAAGTGTTCGTTTTTCAGATAAATCCCTTTGACATGATGCTTGCCATCCAATTCTTTTGGCTCCTTTTGTGCGAATGTCAAGTCTTTTGACTTCACTAGTCTGCCTCTTGCTCGCAGTAACCCATCCGCATCAAGGAATGGATTCAGTTTTTGAAGATGCATGTCTTTATCTTCCTTGAAAATTTCTTGTTGAAAGGATCTGAAGATTACTTTTATTGCTTTCATCTTTTCTTCAGCTGTGATGATCAAATTGGTTTGTCTTTTTCTATTGCCCTTATGCAAAAAGCAGTTGTATTTTGAAGTCTTTTGAAATTACGAAACCTATGCCAGACGGCCAAAGATTCAATGATTGTAACTTTGTTGCAAGTTTCTTCGACGAATTTGTCCAATTCAACATCCTTGATTTTGAAATTCTTTGGCCACTGATGTTCATTTTTGATCCAGGTCGGCACATGTAGCCAAGTGGAATTAAGTATCTGATTTTTTGTCAGACCCCTTGTTCATAGGTCTGCTGGATTCATATGTCCTTTCTCATGTCTCCATGAATTGACAGTTGTGGTGTCTAATATCTCCGCGACCCATATGCCACAAGGACTGGCACTTTTTTTCAGAAGACAACCAAGTCAAAACTGTACGAGAGTCCGACCACGTGTATATTTCGTTTACTGTGACTTGGTGCGATTCCAGTATGTTGTCTTTGATTCTGGCAGCGATCACTGCTCCTTGCAACTCCAGCCTTGGTATGCTCAATTGCTTTTTTGATGCCACTGTTGTTGTGTCAACAACAAAAGATAAACCTTTATTTTCATCTGACGCCTGACGCCTGACGCACAGAAGTATACAACCGCGCAAAAGCCTTCAAGTGACGCGTCTGCAAAAAATGCAGGTCAGTTTGTGTTGGTACAAAATTGAAGCAGTTTCTTGGGATTTCAACATATTTGATTTGTACGAGTTCTTTCCTCCATGACTCGTATTCTTCTGCAATATTTTAAGGTGAAACCTTATCCCAATCCACTCCATCCTGTTTCCATATTCTCTCCAAATATTTTTCGGTTCAAAGTGTATAGAGTGAAAAAAAGTCCTGAAGGGTCAAATAAGGAGGAAACCATGCTAAGAAGGTCTGCTCGGGAGAATCCCTCAACTGATTTGTCCTTGATTCCACATACTGCTAAAGTGTCTGAATCGGTCCTCCAACCAAGTGCCAATTTCCGCTCTTTTTTTCTTTGGTGTTTTAGACAATTTTTCAACGTTGCTTTGAAATTTCGTCATTTTGAAACCACCTTTTAACAAGACTTCAGCAACATGTTTTTGAAGTTCTCAGTCTCCAGTTGGTCAATCAATGAAAAAATAAAATCATCCATGTAGAAATGATTTGACAACCGATGTAAGTTATCAACTTCAAGAGTTCTTGTCAGTGCATAGTTTACACAAGTTGGTGAAATTTAGCACCAAAAATTTGTCGATTGTATTTGTAAATAACAATCCTTTCAACTTCATTTTCAACATCTGAGTACAAAAACCTCAGACAGTGAGTGACATCTTCTTTTACTTTGACGTGAAGAAACATCTGTTCAAGGTCGACATTAAGTGCAACTGCTCCTTTCCGAAATTTGAACAAAGTCCCAACAAGTTTCTGCAACAAATCTGGTCCAGGTAGTAAGTTATCGTTCAAAGAGGTACCTTGATACTTCGATGCTGTATTGCAAACTCTTCGATTTTTGCCTGGTTTATGCGAGTGAAAAACGGGACGATGGGGTATATACCAAAACCTTTGGTTCTCATTTTCTGCAAAGTCTTATTGAGACATTTTCTCGATGACACCCTTTTCGAGATCCGCTCCGATTGTTTTGGTATATTTTTTCTTCAGTTCTATGTCTTTGCCGAGTCTTCGTTTTAATAATCTCAGCTGTCCCAGTACTTTTCCGTAGTTATTGAGTTACTTGACGTTGTCTTTTGTCCATAGAAGCCCAACTTTCCATCTTCCATCTTCGAATTTTGTCGTTAATTCGTGAATTTTTTGAGCTCTTCTTTCTTCTGCAGATAGCTACTCAACCTTTTATGAGAAGCCATAAC